CGAACTTGAATTTCATATGTATGGGAGCACAGAACAATAAATCATCTGCATATAGACAATCTAAATTCATTTCAAGGACTAAAAAGACAAAAGGGGATTTCATATAAACAGAATCTAATAATCAGCAATCATCTAAGTCCAACAATTTAACGTAGAAAAATCTCATTAAACATAAAAAGGGATTTACTTTTTCTTTATTTTAGTGGCTTCGTTTTAATGACAATAAATGCTCATATAACATAATCACAAAAGCTCTCGAACAATCTCTTGAGTATATTTCATTCATTTACCATTTGCACGTGCCTAAAAATTAAATTTAACAGCCGATAGAGAAGTCTTGACCAACATTCATTAGCTTGATCGAAAAAAGTGATCTGAAACAAATATACAATTGAATACACGGCACTCTACCTGACCTAACAAATTCAAATCAAACAACTTCCACCCATCAAAAATCAACCAGAGACTCCATAAACCAGGATATATCATGTATGATATCTAATCCACAAAATATCACACACAACAAAACAGAAGCAAGTAAGCAACTACCCTTCAGATCAACCTTCGATTACTTTGCATCACGAGAAAAAGAAACACACGCACACACACACAATCTTCTGCTCGCAACCTGTTCTTGTAAACTTCAACTGTCTCATAATGTCACTTCATATTCTCCTCAAATTTCCATACAACGAAGGTCATTTACACAGATTAGTTCGCTTGATCAAATCCAGTGCTTAAAGTTCGAGAAACCTCGAATAACTCCAGAAAACAAACTAACACACACACACACACAGAGAGAGAGAGAGAGAGAGAGAGAGATTACGCCGAGTATGGGATCTTCCGGCGCCCGAGCAACATGATCGAACACTGAGATCCGAGCTCCGGCGGAGACCGATGTCGGAGCGGCGGAGTTCGGGTGGTTTGAGTCCATATCGGCGGTCGAGATTCCTTCAATGTGTCGGAGTTGAGCGCTTAGCCTGCGATCAGCGGGTAAAGACGACGGCTGTGAAATGTCCATTTAGCTGAGTACTGTGCTTTTATTTATGACCGAAACGCGGGTTTTTTTGAGCCCGACTCATTAAAATTGGAGCTATGATATGAACCAAATTTGAGCTTGCTTAAATTTCGTTTAATTAAGGTCGAAATTGAGTTATATGCGTAATTTTTTGTAGCTCGAAGTTCAAACGTTGCTAGTTAACGGCTTGGCACGTTAAAGTTTAAGATAATATCGAATTCGAAACTTACTTAAAAATTGATTAATTAAAACTTGAAAGTAGATATTTTTATATATTTTTTTATAATTCAAAGTGTAAACTCAACTCGTTAATGTTGATAAATAAGTTCAATTGTTCTAACAAGCTCAAATTTTGGTTGACTCCTTAGTTTAAATTATCGACAAATTTGAGGTGGCATAAAATTCGTTTAATTAAACTCAAATATAGAGGTTTTAACATATTTTTTTATAACCCGGTAAATACTCGGCTCAAGTATTTGGAGATCGAGCGAGCTCATATACTTTTGGGTCTTCGTATGATTATGAATGGTAATATTCTATGAAATTATTGATGTAATTGGCAAGCGTATTTATAAAATTTTATTTCATAAATTGTTAAAAAGTCTTCGTAATCTTTTTTGTCAAGAAACCTTTTTTCAAAGCAATAAAATATACTGTTGCTCCCGTCAATTTATGGCACCACTTAAAAATTGACTTTTTCTTTTGCAAATTTGAAAAGTATTCCCTGCACCTGTTCTTTGCATAAATACCAACATAGTATCTTTTGTTTGCCTTTTCAGTTTTCAGTTTCATGGAATTATTAAAATGTATTACACCAACACTTTTTCCTTGCGTAAATCCCACATAATATCTTTTGTTTGCCTTTCCAATTGGATAATGTAAACTAAAAGTTAAACGATAACCTATAAGGTAAATAATTGATTGATCCAAAAATCCAAATTAGTAAAATTATACATTCTTACTAGCTCAATCAATTATTGATCCAATAAATTTCAATTATTTTTCCATATAAAATAGTTTATATTATTTATCAAACAAATCTACATACTTACTAGCTCAATCAACTAGTAAGAAGTATGTTAATTCAATCAGTAATGATTGCTAAATCAGCTATAGCTAAGTGCCAAATTCCATTTCCCATTTGATATTTTTACAACCCTAATTAACAAATTAACAGTCACTCAATTCCAGTAATTAACGAATTCGGCACAAAAAAGAGAGAGAGAGAGAGAGAGAGAGAGAGAGAGAGAGAGAGAGAGATAGAAAATGGCAAACTCAATCCACCAACCTTCTCCCATATAATTGAATTAAGAAGTATATTTCATATGAACCAAAAATGCAAATCATGAAAACCAAAACTTCTCCAGGTTTTCTTTCTTCCCCTTTCATTCAACGTCCACAAATTCCAAACACAGCATATTTGCACTTACTCTAGTTTTACCTGGTCGATGTTCGTCATTATCCCTTCGAGCTGAAATCGAAGTTTTGAAGACAAAAACAACAAATAAAGAAAAGGANATGAAAAGATCGTGCGGGCAAAAAAGAACTCACATCAACAATATAAAAATCGATATCTGCATTTGAAGTGATTTTCCCATCCGAATCCACAACATGCGTCTTGTGTTTATACGTCATCAAAATTGTCCTGCCAAAAAAAAAAAAAAAACAATGATAAATAAAAATTATATACAATATTACCATGTCAGGTAAAGCAGAACCAGAAGCTGGATTACAATGTGATATCTCACCTTAGAGTAGGCTCATCCACTTCCAGATATGCAGCAAGCTTTGGAATGGAGATTGTCGAGTACACTTTTAAGAATGTCCGAACACCAGAGAGCAGTTGCTGCTGCTTCAATTCGTAAATAAACAGCTTCAACTGCAGTCTGTAGGCATCCTGAAAGAATAAAATTAAATTAGAACTTCATGTGAATAGCAAAACTAGATGAATATTAACGTGGGGGAGAACCAGCAGAATAAAAGGTTAACTACAAAACTCTACTTTATGTTTGGTATAATAGAAAATCACCCCATTCAAAACTACCTGTTCTTAAGCAATTCAAACTTGCATCTGTGATTCAGAAAATATTAAGGGATTATCATTATAATTAAGACAAACTCCTTTGGTACTTTCTACAATGAACACTCGTTCGAATAATGTTCTCATACCTGGTTGTAGTTTACAAGAGGCTCTTCATAACTTGGAGCTGATGGGGTGATGAATTTTGGGCACGCATAGGAGAAGAGCTCGTCATACAGCACAACTGCCTCGTCATCATACCTCTGCATCCTCATCATTTTCTCACCGTATTTTTCCCGTAATTGGGAGTTCACAGTCTCCTCGACGAGCTGCACCTTAGGACACAGAGAAAGAGAAATAGCAAGCAAAGCATACATCTGCTCATTCTTCTTCAGTATCTGCTCATATTGAGGGGATTTCTGGTGGTATTGCTTGGTCTTGAAGATGTAGATGAGGATTTTATTGAATGTCTGAATGGCTTCAGTATATCTGCATAAAAAATGATAAGAATATATACGACAGCGCCATTGTACAAGATATGCTGCTGGTAGTTCAACACAATACTCAAAATATGGTACATTTGTTCCAAAATAAATTAATATATCATATGTCCACAACACTGGGACGGATGTAAGCTATATTGTCAATGAAATAACACTAGTTTTATTGCACACAAAATCTTAAGCAAGCATAAACTAGAGAAGGATGAAATTCAAAAGTAAATATTATAAACATTCACACAAGGAATTAAAATAATAAAAGAAGAAAAACCTATTAGCAGAGGGGTTGAACGGATATATTACATAAAACCGACCTTCGCAGCATAAGATTTGCAAACCCATAGTGATATATAGTTGAAATGTGGCTACCAATAACACTGGTGTACACGCCTTGTTGACTAATATCAATAGGAAGTAAACATTTGAGGCCTGTGTGATAATCACCCAACAAACAGTGAACTCTAAGAAGGCCGATCATGCTGAAGTACCCCAAGACCTTCAAGACATTACTCCCACCACTGTAATCATATCCATCTGTAGCCGTGAACTGTTCGTGTTCAAGGCCTTCTTTCTCCTGATCTAGAATTTGAATTATCGTGGATTTCTCCACAAGTGCTTGTAGGTAATTGAGGACACCATACACATTCCAAGCCTGTGAAACTTACACATCTGTAATTGTTCTCTAACAATATATCAACAAAAAGCTCAATATTAAAAGATCAATGGAGCGAGAGAAAATCTCTCTCAAAACAAAAGTACCATCATAAGGCAGATTAATTATGTCAAATTAACAGTGACGCCAGAAAACCCAGCATATCCAATTTGCCAAAATGTCCTTAAAATTCAAGCATAACCCAGAAATCTTAGAATATGAATGTACACATTCTTTATGGATATATCAATAGCAATATTATCAATTGAAAGGTTGAAATAGTATCATCACATCAGGTAAATCATGAATCTAGCTGACCCGAGCAAGTAAATTTTAGCTGAACATCCCAAAAATGAAGTATTCTACAGGCTCTACTGTCCAACTTGAAATACTACCGAGCAACCCTGACCTGATCAGATTGCCTCAAAAGTGCAATTTCCTGCTCTGTCTTGGTTTTCATCTTAGCACGATATTGGCAGAATGACTGAAACTGGTAAACAAATTCATCAACCATGTCCCACAACCACTGATTTGGCAGCTGCATATTCACCACTCCATGCAGCACAACCTGCAGCAAAATTAGATTTAAAAAATCAATCCCCACTGCAGTTCACTTCCTTCGAATCATGCTAAATTCCATCTCCGGCTAACATTTTCGCCCTCATCAAGATAAACCCACTTTTCCCAACATAAAGTAGACAAAATTACCACGCTTGCAAAAGCACATTCCAAACAATTGAGCTGCGTAAAAAATTTCAAACCTGGAACAGATTACAATAATTTTCCCATGAATCAATTCGCTGCCTGAGAGTCGGCGTGAGCCTGGCGTACAAGTGGCGGAACCACATCTCGCGGTACAGCAAGCAGAAGACGTGGTCGTTATCAACGTACGGCGCGACGGAGTCCACGGAGGGCCACGGGGAGTCCTTGAAGAACCTGTCGCTGATGCTCTGAAACGACGACTCGTACATCTGGTGAATCTCGTACACGTTCTTCTCTCGAATGTGGCGGTACATGTGGACAACGAACGACTTGACGGAGTCCGGCACGTAGCTCGGGTCGTATCCGGCGACGACGGAATCCCCGGAAAGAGGTTGATCGGAATCATAAGCTGCGGCCATTGTGGTGGAGGTGATGGAGTATACTGATGTGCTCGGGCTCGAAGGTAGCTGAGATTTTGCTTCAGATTTTTGCCCTAGAAGACAGTGAAGAGGGAGAAGAGGGAGAAGAAGTAAGTAGGCTAAAGTTTGTAGAATATTATTTGGGCTTTGGGCCGTTGTTTTTCTTTCTTGGGTTTCTATGAGAGTCTTGTTGTGGACCTGGATGCAGACAGTTGTAGCGCCCCGATTTTCACAAGATAAATTTTAATTAGAAAATAGCACTAAAGTTAAAATGGTATTTTAAATAAAACAAATAACAAAAATTTTGAAACGAAAGTATATTTAGTAATATTAGAATCTTTCATCGGTGCGCACTTTGATGAAATAATTACAAAATATAATAAATTAAAAGAAAACTGGAATAAATGAAAAGAATTTAACTATTCAAAATTTGCAACATCTATCAACCTTAAAAATATTTTATACATCATTATATAAAAATCAGCGATAAGATAGAATCAACAATTAGTAAAATATGTTACTTTCACTTTGTCCCACTGCCAATGCTTCACCGAGCTCCTTGGCCTGAAAATATTTTTATAAAAGAAAGGGTTAAGCCAACAATGCTTAGTGGGGCAAAACATGTCACTTACGAATATTACACAACTACACAATGAAAATATTTTTACATGACAGTGAATTCCAACGTGCTTTACGTAGAACATACACGGAGTACTCGGCCATAATGTCATTGTCTAGCCAAAAGGCTAGATGAATTTTTGTAAGAATAAAACCCCACCTTGATAAATGGATGACGAGGGATGACAAGTTTGACTTGAAAGAATGCTTACTTCTCAGTGTAATCCAACTCTACAAATGTGAAATAGTCTTGGATCAATGTGATTTTTACACATATAAAGTAGATGAAGGTCTTAATATAAATTAACAAAATAGATAAATATAAATCTATGTATATAAAATTCATAAAAAGTAAAATAAATAAACAATTTATTTATATATATATATATATGTACACATATAATCTAGTGTGGTGTGTGCGTGTGTTATATATCTTTTAACAAATAATCTCGTGTCCAATCGATTTTGTGGAATGGAGAACCAAATGAAATCTTAGAGAATTGCTAGATTGAACTCCACAATCTCACTCTTAATTGCCGAGAATGATATAAAATAAATAAACAAAAATAAAACAATTACCTTCATTCAACTTGTTTGCCACCGTTCCCATTGACACACACGCACATGGATCCGACAAGGGCGGTCCGGCGGTGGCAGAATAACGGCGCATGGCCGGGGACGGTGTCGAAGAAGATGATAAACATAAAGAAAGAAAGAAATAAAGAAAGGAAGAAGATGAGGAAAAATACTTACCTCTAAGATGGATTGTGAGTGAAAATGAGGTATAGGATGGGGGATATTTATACTAAATCATTCGGGTCTAATTTAAGAAGCTAAAATCAAATGATTTTGGAAGATGCACTAACTATGGTATAATATAAACTAAAATCAATCTTGACCAAAAACAAAATCTACAAATTGACTTTTCCTAAAATAATAAAAGGAATAATTACATTTTAAAACAGTAATAAATAAACAAAGGTTCGGGAAGAGAATGATCATGTAAGAAATTATGTACAAATACAAATCACAGAATAATTTTGAGTAGATAATAATTATGTCCAAAATACTTTAANTCGAATAATAATAATAATAATAATAATAATAATAATAATAATAATAATAATAATAATAATAATAATAATAAAAGTAGTACAACAATGTGAAAACAAAATATAATTAGTTGGGATGTTACAAACTACCAACCTTAAAAATATTTTCGTCCTCGAAAATAAGTTAAAAATGTAACCTTTAAAAGTGACAGAATACTCTGAAATAACGACTTTTGCAAAGCGCATGAATAAACACAGCTTCATTACTTAATTGGACATCATAAACTTTGAGATCATGGCTTGAAAATTATTTTATAGAGCCGATAATGTCATAAGTACTATGTGGACAATCTTGAAGATGCAAACCTTGACTTAGAACTTGTAATGCATAATTGAAAAATGCAAAAATGTCTATGCATACCTTATCAGAGTCGGCATGGCATGGCGGAGGTGGACAATAACAAAAATAGTATTTCTTTTAGAAAATATTTACTAAATTGATTTGAGAGATAACATGACTCTATTTTTGAAATAAAAGTTTTTTTTTTTTTTTTNTTTTTTCGACAAAAATTTTTTTAGAAAAGTCTACAGAACCGTCGACATTCTCTGATACCACTTGTAGCGCCCTGATTTTCACAAGATAAATTTTAATTAGAAAAGAGCACTAAAGTTAAAACGGTATTTTAAATAAAACAAACAACTAAAGTTTTGAAACGAAAGTGTATTTAGTAATACTCCCTCCTTTTTTTAATAGATGTCGTTTTGAGAAGTTGCACACTAATTAAGAATATTTTTTTTGCCAATAATAACCCTCATTAATGAGGATAGAGATGGATGTTTTGAGAAAATATAAAGAGTGAATATGAAAAGACGTAGTGTATTTATTAGCTAGATAAGGGTAATAATGGAAAAATATGTACAAAAGATCCAAAACGTCATTTATTTAGACAATTGTTGATAAAGCTAAAATGACATTTATTAAAAAAAGGAGGTAGTATTAGAATCTTTTATCGGTGCGCACTTTGATGAAATAATTACAAAATATAATAAATTAAAAGAAAACTGGAATAAATGAACAAAGGTTCGGGAAGAGAATGATCATGTAGGAAATTATGTACAAATACAAATCACAGAATAATTTTGAGTAGATAATGATTATGTCCAAAATACTTTAATTAAAAGGATTTATTATTTATTTACTAGCTTGATATTCATTAAAAATAAAATATAACTCATAACGATGATAATAATAATAATAATAATAATAATAATAATAATAATAATAAGAAAAAAAAAAGTAGTACAACAATGTGAAAACAAAATATAATTAGTTGGGGTGTTACAACAGTCGATGTAAAGAGGAAGACCACGAGTGAAATTTAAGGCAGTTAAACAAAACAACCGCTTGCCTCGAGTAGTTTAAAAATCATTTTTACATACAAGTTTGGCTTGTTAGTAACGAACCGAACCAAGTTTTGGCTGTTTGAGCTCGTGTTCGTTTATGTTCGAACAACGTTCGCGTTCGTTTATTTATTTTTTGAGCAAAAAATCGTGTTTGAGCTCGTTCATCTAATTGTTCGTCAAAGTTCGAGTTCGTTCGTGTTCGAATGATTTAATACATATATAAATACATATATAAATATGTTTGATTAACTTGAAATTTGTTCGTTCAAACTCGAAAATAAAAAAAATTAAATAAAAATATTTTTATATTTTAGATTTTTTATTAAAAATATTATATAAATATATAAAAAATAAAATAAAATTATGTTAAATTAACGTTCGCGAACGAGCTCGTGTTCGTTCGATTATTAAACGAGCCTAAGTTTATGTTCGAACTCGGTTCGATTAACAAACGAACGGACTTTTGTCGAACACGAACGAGCTCAAACGAACTTTTGTTCGCGAACGTTCGATTCGTTTGCAGTCCTACTTGAGTTGGATACAATAAAAAAAAAATATAAAATTAGTTGATTAGTCAGCTAAAATAAAATTTAAATAATTCTCTTAAAAAAATTACTTAAGGAAACTTATGTAAACTCGAGCTTAAAAAAAAAAAAACTCGTCCAACTAAACCAAACTTATTTGAATGGATGAACATTAATGAGATAGTTAAATAAACTATAAGCTAGTTTATGTTTCTTACTAAATACATTTGTACAAATATGAATTTTTACGTAACTTTTTATAGCTCAACTCGTTAAAGTTCGAGTTCAGATCGAGCTCGACTCATTAATATTAGTAAATGAATTTAGTTCGTTTATCAACTTAGTTAATTAACAAGTCGAGTCAGTCATAATTATAAATCAATAAAAAAAATTAACAATTAAAAGAATTAATATAAAACATTAATTCAATATATAATAATCCTATATAAAATTATATTTTTACCATCACATAAATTTTAAAATAATAAATTAATAAGAGCACACATGAAGTATCAAATAATATATTCAATAATTTTAAAAATACTAGTTTAACATAATATTTTACTATAATAAATAACATAAATTATGGGAAATTACCCATATAACTTGCAATTTCTAATTTCTAACAAAAAATTATTTGCCTAACTTTTTCTCATATGCCAGACTCAATCAAATGATAAAAGTTGAAACGAGCTGAAAAAGGCCTCCCATCAAGAAAGAGCATTTTCTTTAAATCGGAGCTTTGATTTTCCGTTTATTTTCTTGTAATTCCGGTTAAAGTTTCCGCCAGCGGCGAGGTCCCAACGCCGGTTGCAAATCCCCATTTTTGTTTTCCGGCCAAGGATTTTGAGCTGAGGAAGAAAGGTGAAGAAAAAAAAAATATGGTGAATGTAATGGTGGAAAGAGCGACGAGCGACATGCTGATCGGTCCCGATTGGGCGAGGAACGCTGAGATCTGTGATATCTGCAATCACGATCCAATGTAATTTCTCCAGCTGCAAGTTCATTTCCTTAAATATTTTCTTATCAATTTGCTATCTTGATCCTTGTCCCCCATCAAACTGAGATTTAAAAACAACGACTCGAATTTTATCGCCTATGTTTGTGGTGATTGTGTGGTTTTGTCTGCTAGAGGATTTCGTGTAATTTGTTGTTGACCCTCGTTCTATCTTTGCGGGGTAATAAAATTTTTGTGGGTGTTGGCTAGTTAGAGGAATCAATAATCTTTGTGGAAGTAATTTTTGAATGCTGTTAGTCCTGTGCTCATGCTTTGAGGTAGTGTTTTGCCATGAGATTATCCTTTTGTATGCATTAACTTTCGGAGAGTATTGTTTTATGTTGTGTTATATTAGGTGATCTTTATGTTCTGTTTAATTTGTAATAGGCAAGCAAAGGACATCGTAAAAAGTATAAAGAAGCGTATTCACAGAAGGAACGCGAAAGTGCAGCTTCTTGCCTTAACAGTAAGCTTGATTATCTTGATTTTAATTCCTCAACTTGAATAAATCTGTAGAATGAATGAGTAAATCTCGGAATTTTTGTTCATATTGAAAGCTATTAGAAACCATTGTGAAGAACTGTGGGGATATTGTTCATATGCATGTTGCTCAAAAGGAATTACCTCATCAGATGGTGAGAATTGTGAAGAAGAAGAAGGTACTTTAAATTCATTGTCTTTTCTAATGCTTTCCACCACAATTTGCTGACCGAGATTTTATTTGCAGCCGGATTTTCACGTAAGAGAAAAAATATTAATTCTAATAGATACCTGGCAAGAAGCTTTTGGCGGTCCAAGAGCAAGATATCCTCAATATTTTGTAGCATACCAGGATTTGTTGGTACATCATTTGACAAATCTTCTCATCTTAATTGTTAGCTATGTTTGGCAATCAAATAAACTAGCTTATAGCTTATTTGGTTAGCTCATAAGCTTCCTTTGGGTAGCTTTTCAAATAAGCTCGTTGAAATTTTTATTTCAGCTAGCTTATGAGCTAATTTTACCACACTTTTATCATATAAGCTAGCTTTTCAACTATAAGTCATAAGCTATAAGCTCGAAATTTACTTATAAGCTATAAGCTAGCTTATCAATTAGTTTTACCAAACATAGCCTTAGTAATGCGTTTTCAAATGCATTTCTTGATTACAGAATGACATTCATTGTTTATGTGTATTTTCGCACTTTCTGGTATTTTCTTCAGCGTCTCGGGGTAGTTTTCCCTCAGAGATCTGAATCTTCGGCACCTGCTTTCGCACCTCCACAAAATACTAATCGTAATCCTGAATCTGGACCAGCTCCAGCTGAGTCATCTGCCGAAGCTGAATTCCCCACACTGAGGTACACTTGCAGTTTTCGGCATGAAGTTTTTCATTTTTCATCAGAATATGGCGAGAGGCGTGATCTTTTATAATTTTATTCTTGTTGGTGTCATTTTATTTTCTTCGCAGCATAATACTAATCATTGTTTCTTCTTGATGAGAAATCTTATCTTAACTAGTTTTCATCTTACGATTACATGATAGTAAAAGCTTGCGTTGCTTTCTTACGATTACATGATCGTTTTCATCTTTTTTCCTCCACACCATTTGGTCTCCCTTCGGTTTTAGTTGTATTCGTTCTAATTATGGTCTTTTTTTTTTTTTCATTTTTCATTTTTCTTTTGGTGATTTAGCCTGACCGAAATTCAAAATGCACGTGGTATTATGGATGTCCTTGCAGATATGTTGAATGCTATAGATCCTGCTAACAACGAGGTAATGTCAATGTTAAATTGGCCGTACTTTTGCTTTTGTTTTACTTTTACAAGATCGACAAATAGTTTTATTCATAGCACGAAATTTGAATATTTAATTCCGTCCTGTTTGCTTTGTGGCAGGGAATCAAGCAAGATGTTGTTGTTGATTTGGTTGAACAGTGTCGTACATATAAGCATCGAGTGGTTCACCTTGTTAACTCCACCACGTAAGGCGTTAATTTACCTTTTTGCCCTTGCTGCCATTTTTTATTCGTCTAGTCGTGATCTGGATTAAGATTCAAGGTATCTTTATTAGCTCTGAATGAAGTCAAAACGCCATTTTTATTCGTTTAAGTCATGATCTGGATCAGGGACGAGTCGCTGTTAAACGAAGGATTAGCTCTAAATGATGACTTGCAACGATTACTAGCTAAGCACGAATCAATTTCCTCGGGAGCTACACCTATTCAATTAGAGAAGTCAAACCTCGAAACCGATCATCAACCTTTGGTCAACATTGATGCTCCCCTTATTGACACAGGCGATGATCAACACTCGGATAAAGGGTATAGGTTAAACTAGTTCACATTTTTCCCGATACCTTTTTTTTAACTATTTAAATTTAGAAAAATAATCAAGAACATTTTTCTTATTATTATAAGATTTCGAAATGTTCGTTTTATAGATCCAATGGTCAACTAACAACAACAACAACAACATCAACAACAACAAAAGCCGATCAAAGCATTGACCTTTTAAGTTGGGACGGCTTCAATTCACCGAATGAAAACTCTCTTGCACTGGTGCCAGCTGGCAAAATCCAGCCTGGCGGTGGGCCCCAACACAACCCGCTCGATTTAGTCGACATGTTTACACAGAGTGATGACAACCTTAATAAATTAGGTCATCAGTCCTCGAATTCAAATGGACAAGAAAGCTCCAATCTTTCACCACTGACAAATTTTCAGCCTCCACAAGATTCTAGTTCCATTGCACCTGAATACGAACAGCCGGTTTACAGTGCGTAACTGTATTTACTGAACATCTGAAGGGTCTATTTGCAAAATTTCGAAAAAAATCTCGATTTTAAATATCATATTTTTATTTATTTATGCATTTTATTGTTTGGCTAGGTTCTCCTAATACTAGCTCTCTTCCTCCACCTCCTTGGGAAGCTCAACTCGATGATCACGATCACGAGCACGAGCAGGCCATTATTAGCCAGCAGCCTCAACCAATCAGCAGCAGCCACTTGGCAGTGCAGAACAGTCAGCTGGCCGTGGGCCCGCATCAGCCCGTTGGCATGTATCCACAACCTATGCAATCGGGTTATGTGTACACAGAGGCCCAACAGATGTATGGCAACCAAATGGGTGGATACGGATACGGGCCCACATACAGATATGGTCAAAGTCAACAGTTTCTCGAGCAGAACATTTCTGGATTATCTGTTTCGGACAATAGTATGTTGAAGAACTCGACTAATTACCGGGTCTCATATGTGCCGTCCGGGAAGCCTTCGAAGCCTGAGGATAAGCTGTTTGGGGACCTTGTCGAAATGTCGAAATTCAAGCCGGCTGCTGACAGGTCAGCGCCAGGTAGGACCGGGAGCATGTGACGGTCGGTCAGTTAATATTTTTTCCATTTTTATTTTCTGACATTTTCTTGAAATTTTTGATTGTCTAAATTGTTTTGAATTGTTTCTTTTTTTAGGGGGTATATATATTAATTTCACATGTTATTCTTTACTTGTATCAATTCATTGCCTCTGAGCTGCTACTCTTATACTTGTATTTGTAATTATCTGGCTTTTCTTGTTGAATGATGTACTTTTTTGTGTGCAAAAGATTGGAACTTGTGTGTATAAGAAATATCAAAACATTTTTTTTTTTTATTATTATTATTATTTTCCTTTGGTAAAATATTCTACCATAAGGCATCTCTTTCTCATGGCCTTTTTTCCATGCGGATCACAACTATGAGCAATTGTGAAAAATTAGATAGAATCCAATTATATTTTTTTACCAAATGTGATAATCTAAAAACAACAAAAATAAAAGTATGGCATCATATATTTTTATTAAAGAAGTATGACCGTTTAATAATTATAAGTTGTTTTATACAAGAATGACTGGTCTTTTTTTACTTTGTCGTTTTCTTTTTTCTTCCCCTTTCCTTCCACTGAACTGAATTCGTACGATAAGAAATGATGAGAATTTGGCATCTACTTCACAAATAGCAGATAGCTGAAGATTGTCAAACAATCACTTGATGATTTTTGATGGTAAAAAGCATTGTAATTGCACTATGTGTACAATTAGATCTGAATTCCAACTTTAATAGTTACATTCCTCATAAAAAGTGGCATCCAATATAAAGTTTTTTTTATATTTATTCCGGTTGTTTACTAATTAGACAATTATATTATTTCAATGATACAAATTACTATTAGGTCAGCCGTATATAAATTCGTACTTATATTATGATATTTTTTAAAATGTGACATTTTCTAACGAAAGTATGCATATTTGTGAAAAAAGAATGATTAGATCGACCTATTTGATAGCATAAATATGATTTTTTGTAATTGAATAAATAACTCTTTCATGGAATAGTAATATATTATTTGAGCTATGGTTTGTACAATGGTGGGGTAATTTTTGTGGTTGCTTGTCAATTGTCATAGCCCCACAACTTAATAAACATAAGTAATAAATGAATGGAAAAAGTAATATAATTATAATATATTTTTAATGGTCACAGTAAATGCTTTAAGGCCCACTTGTTACTTTGGGTATAGGTATTTGAGCATCAAAGAACCTCTCATTGCTTGTAATGCAAAAGCGCCCTAAGTGTTAGGTTACTTATTCTTGGCACTCCCTTTGTGCCACTCTTGATAAAGTTGCTCTCAAAGTACATAAAAACTAAAATGTTGATGTCAAAATATTAAAATTTAGATTAAAGACTAAGCTTTCTTTTTAATAATGGAATTAGTCACATAATTTTGTAAAATCTACATAATGGATAGGCTTAGCCACACGCCGTGTGTTTTTCAATTTCAGGTTTAAAAACTTAATATTCATATTTATTCATGTATTTTCAGACGAGACAAAATCATAATTATGTATTTTCAGNGACTATGGTTATTGCTGCTATAACGAGCCCAACAGCCAACAATACACTTGTGTTCTCGAATTTAAAACAATAAAAAGAAAATTTATTTTCCATTTTCTAGCTAATAATAATAATTTCCTGAAAACAGTATATTCTATTTCACTGTAAGTTAAGCCTGTCGGGTTTATTATAGAACTGCATACATAATAACATAGTATATGTAGTGACCATTTTAGGCATGCTGCTAAATGTAAACAGTAACTATCATGCTATGCTACTGAGGAATTAGTAATTGGAAATTACGAACAGTAATTATCTATAGTGACCATTTTTAATTCGTATTTTTTTTTTCTTTTGTTATGTTTGAGGTCGTGTAATATCATGTTGTGTCATATCGTATCATTTGTTTTCTGCTATTGTATTTTTTAGTCATACCGTACGTATTTGGTGTCCTGCCAGCTATTGTCACCCTTGAATTAGATACAAATAAAAATTAGTCCTGGTGTGAGAACCGTTTTTGATGCTATTTTTAATTGTGCATGATGCTGTTTTCATATTAGATGATGTTATCATTTTTACAAGTGCTACCAGAAATTGTGTTGCTATTTTTAATAAAATTCATCCTAATTAAAAATATCATCAAACACAATCAATCATAGCACTACGCCCAAATAAAAATAACGATTCTCACGGTTCTCACACTAAGACTTGGTTCTCATTTGAACCAATCCTATATATATGTATATATATACAAATTATTTCCGACTATCAATTGGACACATGCTCCAATGTGAATTATCACAGTAATTGAGACGGTCCAATCATTATGCGGATACTCTTTTATGTTATTTATTAATAATAATAATAATAATAATTCAATTTAAATGTATATATATGCATACAAAGGTTAGTGCAAATAAAAACTAATCATGGCGTGAGAACCGTGAGAATCATATTTGATGTTACTTTCAATTATGTATGATGCTATTTTTAATCTACATGGTGCTATCATTTTTTCAAATGCTTAATAAAATGCATCCTGAGTAAAAATAGCACTAAATACAATCAATCATAGCATCACATACAATTAAAAATAGCAGATCTCATGGTTTAGGACTTAGTTCTCATTTGAACCAATCCTATATAGGGGTTGGTTCAAATAAAAACTAGTCTTGGTGTGAGAATCGTGAGAACCGTTTTTTATGTTTTTAATTGTGTATGATGCTATTTTTCATATTAGATGATGCTATCATTTTTACAATGATAACAGAAATTGTGTTGCTATTTTTAATCAAATTCATCATGGTTAAAAATAATACCAAACACAATCAATCATATGTATAGGATTTGGTTCAAATGAGAACTATAAGACCTAGCGTGAGAACCGTGAGAACCGCTATTTTTAATTGTGCATAGTGTTATGATTGATTGTATTTTATTGCTATTTTTAATCAGGATTTATTTTATTAAAAATAGCAACACAATTTATGTTAGCATTTGAAAAATGATAGCACCAGGTGAGATTAAAATAGCATCATATACAATTAAAAATAACACCAAATATGATTCTCATACCAAAACTAATTTTTATTTGAACCAATTTCCTATATATGTTGTTGTGTTGTCTAACATGATTTGTTCAATTAATTGATCTCATAAAGCTTCATGGTCATATATATTTTGTAGACTTCCCTAATAATGCTGCTTGAAATTGGTCCGCATTATATAGGTTTTTCAAACTGAATCATCATTTCAAAAGGCTGTTTTTATTCTTCTTGAATAAATAACACTTGTTTTGGAGAGAGAAAATGCATCAGCAATGCCAATGTGTACTTTTTTGGACAAATGTAACCTCATAATCAACATATATTCGTACGTCGGACCCAGTTAAATAGTACTAGTAATTGTTTTTCGTTTTTTTTTGCTACCCATTGTTTTTCCTTTTTGAATTCGTACAATTTCGTATTCTTATTCCATTTTTATTTTTATTATTTGATCACACAATTGGATATGAAAAACTGTCAATTTTATGTGACTGAAATTTGAGTTAAAAATAAAAGGTTCTCAGTTCCATTTTATTTCAGTTTTTAACAATTCCACTAACATAATAAAAAACAAAAATTAATATTATTATATATATTTCCAACAAAAATTCCAATATAATTCACTCTATTTTGTTACTATCAATCTACCAACCAATATTTTATTATTTTTAAATTCCATCATTATATTTTTATTTCATATTCATTCTATTTCACGTAAAAATAATTAATTTTATCATTCCATCTCACTTTTCGAAATTGACAAAATTATTCAAAAGAAATCGCATATCCGATTATCAGTTTTGCTATGAAGCCAACAGTTGGCTCCATAGTTGAGTCAACCTTCTATATACAACAAGTAAATCATACCATATTCTCTGATTAATTACTTAAATAAATACCACTAACTTTACTAATATGGTATGGTTTACTTGTTGTAGATAGAAGGTTGACTCCACTACGGAGCCAACTGTTGGCTTCATAGAAAAACCGATCTAATCATTACCTTATAATTCAAGTGATTATTATTTTTCAGGAGATAATTGCAATTTTAATGGTGTTACTATCATTAAAAATTGCACCAATCATTCTACTACAAGTACTTTATTCCATTTTTATCGCCAATGCAGGTATAAAACATGCCAATTTTGAACCATATTGAGAGATTATTATTATTATTATTATTATTATTATTATTATTATTATCTCATTTTGGCCATAAGGTGGAATTTTATTCTTAGCAATTTTTATTTATATATGCATAACCCATTCCGTAATACCGACATAAAATTTAATTTATGGAATTCCAAAATTGCCAAAATATTTATAATCATCTTTTCATAAAATATATATTTCCATAGGTCTCACTAGAAATTAAAAGATTATGTAAGAGAAATTGCCGTTTTTATTTGATATATGAAATTAAGAATTTTTTAAATTAATTAGTTTTTGACTTTAAAAAAGTATTATTATACATCCATTTCACATATTTCTTCCATTTTCATAAATGCAACTTTTTTAAATTAATTTAAGCCAAATATTGCTAATAATTATTGATAAATATCATTATTCACATAGTTATAATTAATATTTTGATTTTGATTATATAATAACCAATTTCTATGTACGCATTTGATATACATACAAATTCTAAAACGGAATGCAAAAATAATGAAGTTGCAGTGGTAGACATTATTACGTGACGTGGTATCATGTCTCAATGCTTACTGCTTACACACTCAATAATTTTTAATTTACTTAATTTTATTTATATATCCGTGCATGAGCTGTACGTTTTATAAAAAATTAATTAGTTCAATATTCGTAATTTGAATGTTATAAAATATGAATATGAATAAAACAATAGAGCAATTATACATAAGCAGAAAATATTATAAGAAAATATTAATTTAAGAATATATATATATATATATATATGTAACAAATATAAACTTATATGCTTATATGTAGAAACGGTAAAAGTTATATAATAAATTCAAATAATTAGTTATTAAATTAATATATTTTTTTATCATATGTTATTATGTTTAATTTATTCCTCACATTTACTATATGATGCAATACGATAAAAAAAGTAAATAGTTGTACGTTTTTATTAAAAATTAAAATAATATAATATTTATATTTTGAAATTATAACTAAATATAAATATAATACAATATTAGAGAAATTAAATAGGAGTGAAAAAATCTTACATATAAAAATAAAATAAAATAAATAGCAACATAAGCAATAGAGTTAGATAATAATATAAATTAAATGAAGAAATAATAAAAGTTATATAATAAGTTCAAAATTAATTTTATCAATTAATATAATATTTTTATCATATATTATTATATTTAATTTGTTCTTAATTTTTACTGTTATACAATACAAGGCAAAAACTCAACAGATATTTCAATTGAACCAATATTTAATAGATTGATTTCAAAATCAGTAATATTTCAATAATAAAAAAACTATTAAAAATAAATATAAACACAGGATAAAAATAATCCAAACAGTACAATCCCACAATTTTAAATTATTTTAGGACAATCCCATCTCAAATAACAAACATGGGCTTATAGTTAATATATCAATTGATATATATTATTGCCATCCAATAATTACCTTAAATTATGAAAATCCAGATCATCCCAAGTGCACATATTGACTTCTGCACTTAGGTATATTTATTACTATTAATTAGGTTTGTGGACCTTCTCGTGATGCGTGTATTTGTGTGTGTTGGGGGCATATATATATATATGTGTGCTTTGTCCTTGAATGTTCTTGGAACAAAGTTGACCTAATTTCCACGTGAGCCTCAAAGAGAAGGGAAATTGCATTTCACTCCCCCAGTGCACATGCACCAAAAAATTTATCTTTGGTCCTTTGTAATGTTGTAAATTGTTTTGAACTTGTCCCATGAATATTTCTAACTTCCTATATGACTTTACATAGATGTCCATTACACTAAGGTTGTTACTAGTACACGGTACACTATCTACCCTACCTACAGTACAAAGTTCAATATGGCAAAGGAAAAATATGTCCCATAAGTTGTATTTACTTATAATTTTTTTTTTCTATTTTTGTTATTCGAAAACACATGCCAAATAACTCATTCAAATGTGCCCATGCTACATGGTCGGTGAGACTAATTAGCAAATAAAGCTAATTCATTTTTTCTTTTCCGTCTTTCTTTTTTTTTTATTTTATTTTTTCTAAGAAAAATTAGTTCGAATACTTAAATGATGAAATAGAAGGCAAAATTTTTGAATTTTTTGGCACAAATTGAGGTCGATTTTCATTAGGTTGTTATTGGTAGTTGAGCGAAAAGTCGGAAAAAAATTGGTATAAATTCAAACATGTCTTGGCATCTTGTGCTTGCAATGTCGCAATAATCATAATATCGACTATTGTGAAATATATTTATTGTAAATCGCCATAATGTGTTTCGTGATTCATATAATAGTAAGTAATTTCGAACCGCATTAAAGATTGTGTTCAAATTGTAAAAACGATTACAGATTACATCATAAATTATGTACGCAGTCAAACCTCGCATTATTATCCTTAAAAGCTATAACCCACGAAAAACAATCAGATATTTTCTTTTAAAAATTGCTTGCATATTGACCGAATCGTAGAATTCTCATTTACTTTTCACAAAATCCGAACATTATTTTTAAAACTTTAAGCATTTACTTTTTCAGCCTAAACAATTTACAAAATAATTAGGTTGACCCAACAAAAGACCTGCGGATCACATAGTCGTTGTACCTCATTCTTTAATCCTTAATAAATTCAACAAAATTGCGATAATCTAATAAAAGTACATTTTATTCTCATCAAGTTTCAAAATAAAAATTTGCAAAAAAAAAGAAAAAGAAAAAAAAAAGTTTCAAAACAAAAATATTTTGTCCTATGCCACACAATTTCTCAATTTGATGCAATGTTTATAAATTTGTGTCATAGTATTGAAAGGCTTATAATGCATACAACAAACTTCTAAATAGGATATACAAACAAAAATACAAATGAAAAATTAAATTAACTAAAAAACACCTAAACACACACATTTATCTCTACCTAACCACATTTATATATCTCACAATCTCCTTTTGGTAAGGGATTTGATAATAATTCACACCCTCATCCCTTTAGGGTTATCCCCACCTTTACCTTCCCTCCTTTATTACCACACAAATATTAGGGTTCACTTTTCGATGCCCTCGAAAATTCCCCCACTCTCGGTTCCTACGCGGGTGGGCCTCACGCACCAATCCCGGCCATCCTAAGTGCGCGGACGGGACTGCGCCATTTCCAACTACCCTACAATTCTATCGCGTGGGTGCCACGCGATTCCCGTCTTTTGTCTAGGGTTTCAAGGAGCGCATAGTGGATGGTGATAAGCATCGCATCTCGTGGGCCTCGCTGGCTCGATCTGATTGGGCCAATCTTTTCTCTCTCCTCATATGCATACACTCATCTGTACGTATACTCGACAAGGCTGTATAAATACGTTGTATGTGTCGACAGTAAAAAACTGCCATTAAATTTTTAAAAAGAAAAGAAAAAAAAAACACTACACGCACACACAAACACACACTCCTTCTCTTTCCTCACTTTCTCTCCTCTCTCTCTCTTATCTTTTGTCTACATTTTAACTTCTCAACTTTCTCTCTCTATCTCGCTGTTAAAAACAATTTTCTTTTCCCTTCTCTCTCTAGCGAATTTCAGACCTAAAAAATACTCCGTTTTTTTTCCTTCTATCTCTCTTAAAACCGCCCAAGAATCACTTGGAGAGATTTTCCTTTTCCAGTTTTTTGTTCTATCAGATGAGGATTATTGCTCAGTGAGCCAAAATCGGCGGAGATTTTGATCTGATTTGCGCGAGATTCGAAGAGAGAGAAAGAGGTTCGTCTTCTTAAATCCTTTTATTTTTTTTTTTCATTTTTCACTTATTTTCACGTGATGATCTGAAAATTAGCGTTGTTGTTTCGTTTAATCTGTCCTTATGTCTTAGCTGAATATGAGCTGATTTTTATTTTTATTTTTTATTTTTATCTATTTATCTACCTCCTTATCTGAAAGTGGGTCTTTTTCGTTATTTCATTTATTTTTTATTGGACCTTTTATTTTCTATCCTTTTTGGTTTAGATTTCATTTTGGGCCTTTTTCTTCTTCTAACATTTCATCGAGGGTTTACTACTCTTACTACTCTTGACTGCTTTCAAGATACGTTACTGAGGTTGTCTGAAAAAATCATTAAACCCTAATATTGGGTTTTGTGGGCGTGAGATTAATGTATCTGTTTTTGTTTGTATGATTCGATGTATTACATAGGTTTTGAGTTAATTTTGGAGCCCGTTGAGAGGTAGCTTTGATTTCACTGTACTTGTCGATATTCCAGATTTCACATTTCCCCCCCTAAAGAAAACCCTAAAATTGCTTTACCTTGTTATTTGTTATGCCTCGTTTTGCTCTATTTTTTTCGCGTTTAGATGGATTTTAATCGTGTCGTTCGTGTGGCAATACAAAATCTTTGATTCGATGCTGGTTTATGAACTAGGGTTTCTATAATTGGTTCGAGTGATAGCCTAAATGCTTATCATTTGCCGCATTTCATAATTTTTTGTGTGTACATTATATGTTTCATGTAATAAATAATGATTCAAAATTCATTAGAGCTCTTACATTTATGATCATTTCTATATCGCATGTGAGCTTAATTCATATGTCAGTTAGCTAGCAGCTAGCATACAGTTGTTTATAACCAATTGTTTCATTTAGTTTGTTTCAGATATATTTATAAATGGACAAGAGAATTGTTGTTGGGGAAGAAAGCCATAAGAGAAATGAATCTTTGGCTTCGCTCGTTCAGATTAACTCGATTGCAATCGACATTAGTTGTGGTGTGGAGGAGGTTGACCCCCCCAAACACGAGCATTTTACTATACGGTAATTTGCTAGGCTTTTACTTTTTACATCGATTTGCTACTTTATTTCGTTCATGATTAGCTTCGGGTGAATTTGTTTCTTGGGTGAAACTGTTGAAGCAAATTATGCATTTCAACTCTCTCTTGCACACTTTGAGACACTGGAATTGGGAATGGAATCTTTCCAATATGTGATGAGAATCGAATAATGTCCAATGAGAAATATGTATCTGCAGCAAAAAACATTTCATTGCAATGTATGATAATATCCCGCGATTATTGAATTTGTTTTCTATGATGTATATAATATATCGTCCGTGATACTTCCTTGATGTCTGAATTGTATTCTCAAAGTCTTATTATCCTTACAACATAAGCATGCCTGAATTGTATTTACCCTAATGTGATGCATCTAAGCCTGCAAAACATATTGATAATGTAATATTATTCGTTTGATCCTTGATGATGACTTAAAATCTCGATAAACTTTTCTCTTATCAAAATCGGTATAATTAATGCAAGAACATAATATTGTTTGTGAATTAATGCAGCGGGTTTGTCTCTGAAATGAGGAAAAAAGATAGGAAAATGTGTTATCCGTTTGCTTCAGAAGGTCAAAATAATGATGATGGCGATTTGAATTTACCTCCATTATCTGTTCCCAAATTCCGGTGGTGGCAATGTGTTAATTGTGTCCCCGAACTTGTGGATCAGAAAAACACACTTGATATGGTATTAGCAAATACGAGTAATGTTGCTGGTGAAAATTGTTGTATGAATAGAAATGATTGTGAAGAAGAAGAAGGTTTGCTCACGCACAGCATACAAAATATCGGTACGTGATGAGCTGATATATATATATATATATATATATATATAAGTTTGTGACATGATCACGCATGCTATTCAATTATTCTTTTTTTTTTCCCTTCTTCTTCTCGTGTATTTTATTGGTTATTTATGCAGGTGATGAGAATATAATACCTTATAATATGCGGTGCGCAGATGGATTTAAACCTGCGGCAAGTAAGTTTGGTGATTGCGTAATGTGATCCGGATTTGATTTTTCTGGTATTTTTGTTCTGATTGTTAGCTTCTCTCAAGAATTATGAAGTGATGTATGTAACTTTATATGTTTTAATCTATATTGCTACAGATATTAGGACTACTGAAGTTGGAACTTCACGGCCTCATATGACCGAAGCTAATCCGGTCCAAATCATGGAGACACGCGAAGAATCTTCTTCAGGTAATTAATTCTCTCCGGTTCATGAAAATTCTTCGAAAATGTTTGTGAATTTAATTTCTTATAATAAAGGTTTAAACTTTTTTTTTTTTTTTTATTCAGATGCTTCAGATAAAGTAAACTCAGATGGGAATAATCCTTCAACCAAACCCAACGAGCCCGAAAAAGCATCATCTGGCAGTGACGATGCTATTGCCTATAGCGCATTACCTTACAAACGTAAACCGAAATTGCGGTCTTTGGCTGATATAATAAACAAGGAACGGAGTTTTCCGATCGAACAACATCCTCGAACGAAATCTCTATCATCTTCTCATACAGAAGATGATGATTCGAATTCTCAGCCTCTGTTAGAAGTCTCCTCGGATGCTGCAAAAAATACAAAAACGCCCCTGAGGAAAAGAAAGAACATAGTTCTCGAGGATGAAGGAGGAGGACCTTTTGAGACAAGCCCACCGAATTTTATGGCCAAGAAGTTGAAAAGCTCGATTTTGGAGGCAGAGAACAATATTAGTAATAATGCAAGCAAGAGAGTTGAAGTTTCAGACACAGATTCCGAAAGGGATGATGTAAGAATCACAGCAAAGGCTCTGCCTAGCAAGATACGGAAGCAAAAAGCTCTCGACATAAATAGAAAAACGAGACGGCCCAATCTGGAGAACAGGACAGCTGTACAGATGATGAGTAATTATTCTTCTGCAAATTATGCAAATCCGGTGACCAGTTTCGGTAATTTTGGAAATTATTCGGGCCCGCTTTGCAAGAAACTGTTGTCTAGACAGGAAATGGATGGTTTTAAGGATCTGTCAATGTGTCTGAGTGAAAGCGGTTCGGGAGATTGTGCTTTCAGGGAAAAAGTTGCACTGGACCTTTCTTTGAACAGCTATATGAGTTCCGAGATGAATTCTAAAAAACAAGAATCATCCGGAAAGTTTACTGGTATTCCGGATTTAAACGAGTCGTTTGTTGATAAAACAAATGTGATGGAAGGGCAGCAGGTGCCGGATTTTTCGGAGCTGAGGAGCTTTGCTTTACATGAGAATTTGGTATGCTAAGTACAACCTTTTTTTGCCTTGTTTCTTTTTAAATATTTTCCTAAATAAAGTCGCTTGAATTGTCCTGCTATTTTTGTTTTGTTTTTCCATGGAAGTCAATCGTATGTCTTGAACCCTGATAAGTTAAATTCAGTCCTGAAATAATATGTGGAACGTCTTTTTAGATTTGACTTAGAAGACTGAATAAATGCATCTGAATATCTGATAGATTTTATTTTTCTTGTGAGTACTGACAGATAGCATTTGTAACGTACTCTTTGTGGTCGAAGATATTCAAAATTCAAATACATTTTTCGATGTTATTAGCTACTTTGATTGACCGAAAAGTTCCTGCAGAATTGTTTAAATTGAGCCTGTTGCAATTTTTCCAGAGTTCTTTTCTATTGACTCCCATTTGAGGCTCAATTTCATAGCCGGTTTAATCCCATGATCATCACGATGTTTTCAAACCTTTATTGAGTAAGATTTTGCAATGTCAATCTCATTCATTGAAGTGAAATTTTATTTCTTGCTACTGATTTCTCATAAGAGTTGCTTTCATGGTTTTCTCATTACTCGTCTAAAGGCCCTCAAACAGGAAAAGAAGACAAACAAATTAAAGTCTTATGAGTTATGAATGTGTTGTATATGTAATTGTGTGTGTCTAACTGTAGTTTCTTTAAACTCTTGCAGTATATATCTGGGCCATCCAGTAAAATTCCGACTCGAGAAGGCAAAAGTCCATCAGGGGTCCTCGAACAACACCACCAAGCAGCCCGTAACAAATTCGGGCCCTCTTCAGACGATATCCCTATGGAAATAGTCGAGCTCCTGGCCAAGAATCAACATGACAAAGCGCTCGACAATTCAAGAAAAAATTTCGGGCCCGAAATCATCAACAATTCTTTCAGACGAGCCCACTATGCCGAAAATACCCCTGGCCCATTCAATTTCCCTCATTATGCCAACCCCCCAAGAACCGGTTTAAGTGTCACAAGTGGTAGCAATATGGGACACGGACATGGATTCTTAAATTTCCCAAACACGAAAACTTGTCGTTTGGACAAGACCCAGTTCAGACACTGGAGCTCTGTACCTCTCTATCCAGGCCCGAAACCGAGGGAAGGTGCGAATGATCTATTATGGCCTCCGAGGAGAAAAAACGTGACTTTCGATCTAACCGGTATCCAGAGCAATCCTGTTCAGTCTAATGGATTGGATGATCAAAGCTATCAGAGGAAAAAAGATTTTAATGATGACAAAGAAGGGAAAATTGGGCCGGGCCGTATGCCTGTTGGGCCCATGGATGCGTATTCGAACGAGACAATCCCGGCCATGCAACTGCTGTCCTTAATGGACCAGGGGATAGTCTCGGGCTCGGGTTTCAAACTCGGCCCGAGTAATTTTCTTGATAGACCATTCTCTCCATGCAACCATCATCCGAGGCTGAATAAAAACGATAGCCAAACCCAAAAATTTGTGGGCTCTTCGCTATTTGGGAAAAGTAGCAATATCAATGAATTTCCTGCCTTGCTCAACGGGGCTCGTTTTTCTGGCGAGAGCTCGAAGAAATCTTCTTCACCACAAGGTAAAACGCTTTGTTTTTTCAGTACTAAGATGAAGAAAGAAA